GGGCGGGGGTCGCTCCCTGTGAGCCCCCAGCAACCGGACCGGAGGCTGCAGCGGGTAAGCCAGACCTGGAGGAGTTGGTGGCTCTCACCCCGCCATCCCCCTTCAGAGACTCAGTGGACTCCGGGAGCACCACTCCCAACTCACCAGTGTCCGAGTCGGCCCTCTGTATCCCGTCGTCTCCCAAATATGACACTCTCATCATAAGAGATTACACTCAGAGCTCCTCGTCGTTGTGAATGTCACTGGAACCACGCTGGGTTCCGCGTGCAGTGCAGAGATTTCCGGTGTGCACAGACGCAGTGGCAGGCTTAAGTCACTGGCTTTGACCAAGGCGGAAGAGGTCATGTACACCTGGAATGTAAACATGACATTAATAGTGCTACTTAAGGACAACCGACGAAGACACCAACTACAAATCTTCTGGCAGATTTTCTTCTAGTGGCCTTAGAAAACATGGGCTTTTAAGAAACACTGCTTATATTTTTGAGGGCTGACAAAGGAGTCTGTTGAAACAGTTAATACCAAGTGCTCCGCTCTAGGGCAGCAGTCAGTGTGAAACTGTGTAATGGAGGGTGAGAAGCATAGTTACTAAGCAACTGTAAAAAGTTTTCTTTGTTTACTTCCATTCTTTTCCCAGAAGAGTCTTTGATTCACCCAACATGAATGTACATTTTCTAACAAACTCATAATCTGGGACCAAAACATCAACCCTTCTCTTTTTTCTTTTTCTTTTCCTTTCTTTTAAAGACTTTGTAAAGCAGTAACTTGGGCCCCAGTGGATATGGAGGCTTTTGTGAGTGTGGCCCATCCGTAACACAACTGGATAGTGAACGCTGCGCTGACACTAGGGCTTCGGCCTACCAGAGATTTTCCTCTCCAATTTAGTTGTGAAGTATTCTTCCAAAAGCCTGCTTCTGGGATTCCTCCTAGTTATTTCAGATTCACCTCCATTAACCAAGAAAACCAGTGGATGATTTCTTGACTATTTCACCATGTTGCCAATCAATACTGGAGTAGCAAAAAATAATAATATTTTCTGGAATACTGTTTTGTAATTCCCTCACTGGGGTGCATTGTGTAGCTGGAAATTCTCTTTATAATAATAATAATTCTTGAGCTCCAGCCCAGCTAACTCATGAAACATGGCCACTCCTCCTTGCGAATGGTGTTCCGTTAGCATTGCCAGCTAAAACATGAAAATATACCTTTGGGCTTCTTCATTCCTTTCTTTTGAAAACCTGATGCACAAAGACCTCCTCTGTTCTTTTTGAGTCCCACCACTGGAAGAGTGGTCATAGACCCAACGAAGACACTGTCACAATCGGAGGGACTGTTGTTGAAGCAATTAACACAATCTGAATACACAGGAAATTTGAACTGTGACAAGTCCGCATAGCAGAGATTTCGCTATGCCAGCGAGCAGTGATTTTAACTTTATTTGGCTGCTTAAAGTGGGCAGCTATGAACTATGACAAATGTAGATTTTCAAAGCAATACCGAATACTAAAACAGAGGAACCTTAATGAATATCAACCACACAGTCTTTCTTAGCCATTCCAAAAAGAGGCAAAGCAATTATTCACATTTTTCTTTTTTAAATGATTATTCATTCATATGATTTTGTGCACTTCATACTGTCACTTTTTAGATACTGCAGAAAAGAAATTTAGAGTTAAAATAGAAACACATATTCTTTGACAGGCTCATTGGGTAGAATTCATAACTCAAGACCTGAATCTACAGTCATCTTTCTTCCGTCCATTGCAGCTATCCTCAGGAACCAAATGTTTTTGATTTTTAAATAAAGATAGTAATAAAAGGAGGAGGTGTCTTATACATTTAAAGTTCAGTTGACCCAGCCTTACCTTAAAGACAGCCTTATGAAAAGATTTGCTGTGAGGCAGGAATACATTTTAGGCAGAGAGAAAAACAAAACATTTTTCATTTAGCTCTATATCCTCATTTTGATAAGTATTTTTTTTTAATTTCACATCTACTTTTTAAAAAAGAAATTAAAAATAGAACTGTATCCATTGGCATAGTTTATCATTTCCACTTTTAATGTGACGAACACATTGCTGGTTGCCTTTTCTTTCCTGATGTCTGTTCTAGCTTGAAATTTTAAGCCAAATCTCCCAATAGAGAGCATTAAAGCAGCATTCATTTACTAAGATATTAATTTGAAAGAACTCAAATCTCCCATGTCAGATTTGAAAATCACATCATTAGAGACTCTTGAAACACAAGTGAAATCTAGCTAAGATGCATGATTTCATTAAGAGCAAATGTTCTGCCTCTACCTAAAACGAGAAATGTAGTTTCACATATTAATCCCCTCAATTCTTCATCAAAAGGGTAGCATTTACCTGGAAAGTCCTGTCTTAATTTCTTAGGTCTTGAACCTTCCTAAATATGCTTGACTCTAAGTTTTAAAATTTGTTTCATAAAACCGTTATGTTTATTTCCATTCTATTCTCAAGTACAATTGAATTTCACTCTACTGACCAATAAGAAAGCACTTTTTAAAAATCTTTCTTCATGATCAAATTCCTTCTCTAATATTTTAGTAACATATTTGTATAAAAAGTCTATGAGAAACCTTATGAGAAAATTAATTAGAAATTAAAATGTACTATAAGTAAATTGCTATCAGATAATTCCACACTATCATAATCAACTGTAAAAATAAAAATAACATCCAATTAGAGGAGGGCAAGAAGTATTCTTCTCTGTATTTCTATAATATTGGCCACTTCATTGAATACACTGTATATTGGACATAATATTATTGGTAATGTGTTCTTGAGATCTTTTCTTTTGGAATGATGCTAACTCTGTCTCTGCAACTCTAACACCAGGTTCCAAGTAATAACTCAACAATACAAAGAGAACTGAATATTCGTTCTAGGGCTAGGATGTGAACTTCACAATTCATTTGGGTACCTATTCTCATTGAATTTCCTTGAAAACAATCTGTTCCTGATGCCCAGTGATATTTCAGTTGGGACCAGCATAATTAAAAGGAAAGGGAACAAGTACAGTGAAATACTGAGGCTCAGCGAAGTGACCCTAAAGGAGAGTTTGGTCCCAGAATGAAAAAGAGAAGACCTGATCTGATGAAGTTATACTGACTAATCTAAACAGTTCACTCATTCTTCTATTTTGAGAGAGGAGTGGGGGAAGCCTGAGAAGACCATGTCTGGATTGGAAAGAACTGTCTTTCTGAGCAAGGGGTGAGGAACAGGAAGGGTAAAGAAAGGAAAATCATGAGAGATTTGACTGAAGCAAGAAAAAAATTTAAAAAGCAAATCCCCAATGTGCTAATCCTTGAAAGTAACAGTCTTTCCCAAACTGCTGCTGTTACCTGTAAGTGATCAGGAAGACTAGGAGCTATTTCTGACTGTAAATGAATTGTGTAATGGCTCTGCTGCAGTTTTGTGACTTCCAAACCAGGAAATAAACATTGTTTTTAAGTAAAAACAAAAACAAAACAAAACAACAAAAAAAAAACATTTCCTATGTTAGTCTCCCAGTAAAGTGTATATGTTTTGGAGACTTCACAGGTATTATCTAAGTTCACATTAAACAACAGCTTATTAATTAACCCTCAAGCTGTCAGAATCTCTATAGTTATCATTTACAATTTTATACTGTGAAAAAATACAGATCAGTGAAAACATTAAGATAAATCAGAATTTCACTTTGAAGAGAGTTGGAGGCCTGAGAGAATCTTGACTGTCTATTGAAGAATGAGGCATGTATAAAATAGTTGGCAGAACTTCACTGATCTTCCCAATGTGAACAAATATACTATGTATATTGTGTGTATTTCTAGAATTCAATGGCAGCTGCTGGTGGTGTTGTAATTAGCGATCTATATAGAATATAGATGTTTTAGAGAGATGGTGCCAATTTTAAAAGATTTGTGTGGGCTACAAGTGCTTGTACTTTCTTTTTTCTGCACTATAACTGATCTGGTTTTAAAATTGTGTGCGCGTATCTGTTCTTTATCTGTTGTTGCAGCTTGTACTATTAAAATAATAGAGAATGTTAAATTGGATTGGAAAGAACTGTCTTTCTGAGCAAGGGGTGAGGAACAGGAAGGGTAAAGAAAGGAAAATCATGAGAGATTTGACTGAAGCAAGAAAAAAATTTAAAAAGCAAATCCCCAATGTGCTAATCCTTGAAAGTAACAGTCTTTCCCAAACTGCTGCTGTTACCTGTAAGTGATCAGGAAGACTAGGAGCTATTTCTGACTGTAAATGAATTGTGTAATGGCTCTGCTGCAGTTTTGTGACTTCCAAACCAGGAAATAAACATTGTTTTTAAGTAAAAACAAAAACAAAACAAAACAACAAAAAAAAAACATTTCCTATGTTAGTCTCCCAGTAAAGTGTATATGTTTTGGAGACTTCACAGGTATTATCTAAGTTCACATTAAACAACAGCTTATTAATTAACCCTCAAGCTGTCAGAATCTCTATAGTTATCATTTACAATTTTATACTGTGAAAAAATACAGATCAGTGAAAACATTAAGATAAATCAGAATTTCACTTTGAAGAGAGTTGGAGGCCTGAGAGAATCTTGACTGTCTATTGAAGAATGAGGCATGTATAAAATAGTTGGCAGAACTTCACTGATCTTCCCAATGTGAACAAATATACTATGTATATTGTGTGTATTTCTAGAATTCAATGGCAGCTGCTGGTGGTGTTGTAATTAGCGATCTATATAGAATATAGATGTTTTAGAGAGATGGTGCCAATTTTAAAAGATTTGTGTGGGCTACAAGTGCTTGTACTTTCTTTTTTCTGCACTATAACTGATCTGGTTTTAAAATTGTGTGCGCGTATCTGTTCTTTATCTGTTGTTGCAGCTTGTACTATTAAAATAATAGAGAATGTTAAATTATTTTGATGTGAATTGCAAATGATTTTTTCATAAAGTTTAACATTTTTATCAGCATTGTTTCGCTTTGTACTTGTATAAATGTGTTTTATTTTAGCATTTTGAAACACTTGCCTGTTTCTCAGTTGTCTAAATCATGTGATAGTTGGTGTTTGTGAAGTCAGTTACCTTTTTGAAAAATATTAAAAAAGAAACAATGATATAACTTTAAGATTATTCCCCTCAAATGTTTAGAATGTGTCCTTACTAGTGTTTTCCTAGACAAAAAGGAACTTTAAATTCTGAATGATTTATACATTTGAGTTACAGAGTTTTACAGAGTAGGTAGAGACAATAGATTAAACGAAAAATATGAACCAACCAGAGATGCTGTCCCCAGCATCTATAAATATCTTTTAAGACATAAATAAAGAAGGATTTATTTATTTAAGGTTTTTGCCATAGGGTGCATGTGCTCACTGGAGAGAGAGAGAATAGAGAGGGGGAAATGAGAAATCACCCCCCCCCCCAAGGATGGCCACACTGCAATCCCTTCTCCTCCATTCTCCTCTGGTGATTTTGGACAGGCCCATGTGCCAGCCTAATTCTCAAGCCACCAGGTCTGAGGCTCAAACCACGGTCTGCCATGTAGGAGTCCAGTGCCTTAACCACTATACCACATGCTGTCCCCAAAGAAGTACTTTTAAAAAAATGTAGAGAATGCACTTGGATTTCATGTCATATAAATTATAGAAGTAATAGTTTCACAATTATCTGTGTTGATAGAGATAACATCACACAGATAAAACATTATGTTTATGTGTATGTATGTGTGTGTATACAAAATACATTTATGTACATA